GCAAAGTTCAAGGGGGCCGAATACTTTCGCAAGGCACTGTATATTGGCATTATGTTGATTTTCTGTTTCTCCATGTATCCGTAAGGTTTCTCTGTCAGAGTACACCTGTGGAGGGGAACACACCCCGAACCCCATCGCCAGTGCTGTGCCGCTGCAGGCCACACCCACATTTATCTCCACCACCCAACTGACCGCTGTCACCACAACAACAGAGGCAGGACACACCATCGCTTTCCTTGGAAACAGAGGGGGGCAACTGCTCAAGGTGACAGCCTGAACACACACTATATACAACATAGCAACATGAACACAGCAGGTGTAAGGTGACGGCATCGATTTACAGTGCACATATTCATCTATATAACCGACACAGAGTGGGTTCAGTGAATCTGCTCTTTTCCCTCAGTGAACTATGGACACGAATTTCAGTTATTCTGGTGTCTGAGATTTATTTTACTTCACCTTTCTCAGAGATCATGGAGAAGTAAATGGTGTGAAGATCACTTGTCACATGTTATTGTACCTCTGCCTTTTACTATGAGGGATGGAGGATAACCTGAAAGTTCGACATTCTGGGAAATATGCCAGTTAGCTTTCTTGCTGAGTGTCAGGCTGTGTCTCCATCCCAGTCCTTAATGCCACCTGATGTTTCAGTCAGTTCTGATCTTGTATTGATGCCTCACATATACTTGCGCACAAGAATAACAACGAGGTGGTGTGTGTGATGGTCAAATGGCCCAGTTTCCTCCCAAACCATTGGGTTACGATATGTTCCTCCCAGTTTGGCCTGATCAGAAACTTCTCCATAAACGTCGCTGTCATCACTCTCCTCCATTTTTATTGTTACCGGTCTGTGAGGGGCAGACGCCGAATGATGACGACAGGCCGTATGTGCAGAGGAGGAGAAGTTAAGACGACCACATGGATTCTGATCTGACCTTTCTGATGGCGCTCGCACAGTCAGAGTTCCGAGAGGAATCAGGTCTAGGATCACAGGTTGCGCAGGTGCCCAGATCTCATCTGAGGACATCTGGTCTGTTCACACTACTGTGAACACATCAGGTCTGGACCACTGAGAAGTAAACATCAGATCTGGGAACCTTCAGCCTCAGATGAGAAGAATGATACAATTGTCATGTGGGAACAGTAAACATGAAGCTGCAGCCAGCTAATGGGGAAGCAGCTAGCTGTTTCTCTCCAGAGGTTACAAAATCTACATTCCCGCACCTGTAGAAGGCGGATGCCCCTGTTTACAGTCTTATATGCTAAGCTAAGCTAACCAACCTCTGGCTGTATCTTAGCATTACCTGTTAAGACATGGGAGTGGTATCTTGTGGTCTTGTTCACAGTGAGGGTAAACTGGAGTATGAGGTTGACCGGTGGATCAGTGCAACTTCAGCATTGTAACCTTTGTACAGGAATGTTGCGATGACAAGTAAACATTCTATTTCCTAGTAAATATACAAACCCTCAGCTGTGGTACTGAGCTTTGGGCAGTGACTAACAGAAGCAGACTGTGGACACAAGTAGCTGAAATGGGTTTCTTCCATAGGGTGGGTGGATTCTGCCTTAGAGACAGGATACGGAGCACAGACATTGGAGGGAGCTTGAGTAGAGCCACTAAGGCTTCATGTTGAAAGGAACCAGTTGAGATTGTTCAGGCATCAGGATCCTCCCGGGTTTCCACTGGAAGTTTTTTGGAAACATGCATCTGGTAGGAAACCTCAGGGTATATTCAGAACACACTGGAGAGAATATATATCTCATCTAGCCTGGGAATGCTTCAGGATCCCTAGGAGGAGCTGAAAAATGTTGCTGGGGAGAGTGATATCTGGAATAATTTAACAGGGTTGCTGCCACTGGGATCTGATTCCAGATAAGCACCAGAAAATGTATGGACAGTTGTTTTTTTTGTGTGTGTGTCTTTCATTCCCACAAGATAAATGTAAGTGTGGAAAAATAATAGCGTTCCCCTCTCCCTACTTACCACCACTGAGGTACCCTTGAGCAAGGCCTTGAACCCCCCCGAACCCCCACCTGCTCCAGAGAGCAGCAGACCAGACTGGTTCAATGGGCAGTCTCCAGCTGGTGAATGTGCACACAAAGGTGTTCTAGAAAACAGATCAGATATTTCTCTTGACAGAAGGCAGCTGCTGGATCCGAAGGAAGGAATCAGCAGTTTCCTGTTTCCGTTTGTTTGGAGCTGCAAAGTTTGAGCTGCACCAGGAAACACCTCACAGGCTGAAAATACACCACAGCAACACACAGCTCATTTCCATCACAGAGTGAACAGAGAGCAGCTTGAAGCCCGAGGCTCTTTATCAACAAAACAACACTCACAATGATGCACTGTGTGTGTGTGTGTGTGTGTGTGTGTGTGTGTGTGTGAGATGACTAACAGGCGTTTAGTTCAGGGGGCTGTCACTGGGGAGCATGCTTACACTCTTGTTGTTGATTGGTTATTGGTCCCCCAGGTGCACTCTGGGTAAGGATCCAGCAGGAAGCCTCTGACACAGTTTCTGTGTGTGTGTGTGTGTGTGTGTGTGTTAATGAGGTCTAATCCTGCCTGCGAGACTCAGCGAGGTGAACAGCAGAGCTTTGATTCTTCCTGTTAATATTTAATCACACACACTGTACAACCCTGTTATCAGCAGCAAACTGCAGCACATTAACTCTTTTGCTTAGGGTCTGCATCTGACAGTGAATCTGTTGGTCAAAAGAACTCTGAGGTCAAAGGTCGGCTGCTCTATGGGGACCCCGGACACATCACAGTTTCCTTATTTGATCATTTTTTAAACCTCTCTCAACCTGTAAGAGGGGATCCGTGAGCGAGCATACTGTACATGGGAGCATCCTTTGCAGAAGTCTTTTGTGGACTGACACACCCCTTTATTAGAAATTAGGTGGTGATCAGATGCTTTAGATGGAGGACTGAAGGGAAGGCCATCTCATGCCTCTAAAAGCAAGTTTCCTTCATTCCTCTCTCTGTGCATATTATGTGGGCGGAACTAAGATGCAAGTGAGGGAATTATGCAGATAAAGCAACTGAGATGTTCCCACTCACATCTGAGCTAGATTGAGCACTGGGTCAGGGATCCCAGCCCTCAGCTGCTAGCTTTTCCAGAGTGTAATGAGAAAAGTTGTTCATGCTTTGAGTTGGTGCACAAACGTGTTGCTTTAGTTTGTAGGTGTCTTCCTGCAATTGTGGTAGTTGGTCTCAGCAGGTAGAGCAGCTTGACTGCAGGCGGGCTGCTGGTTCAGTCGCCAGCTCCTTCAAGTGTCCTTGAGCAAAACCTTGAACCCCAAGCTTGTGCTGATGGTAAGACCAACACCATGGGGGAGGCGACAGTGGTTGAGTGGGTGGAGCAGTCAGCCACCCAACCAGAAGGTTGAAGGTTCGAATCTCGGTGCCTGCAGTCCATATGTCAAAGTGGCCTTGGGCAAGATACTGAACCCCCCTGCTGGTGTGTGATCGCTCACTGCCACCAGGGTGGATGAGAAGCAAATGAAGCACTTTAGTTAAAGAGAAGTACAAATGCAACCATTTGCTCTGAGAGGGAGGAAAATATTCTGATCTACAGCAGAACCCTCCCACACTGACACCAACACATGTGTGCACATCTTTTAATAAGTCATTTTGTTTCTATATGCTTAGACCTGCTGGATTCAGTCTCACACGTTTGGGGGGTCTGACTCCTACAACACTTGTGTTGGATGCAGGTGCGTTCTGGATCTGGATCAGCGGGATTACTGGTGTGCAGTAAAACCCAGCCTTGGACTTCCGGTTGATAGACCACCAAGATGGCTGTATTGTAGAGGAGCCCCGAAAGGAACCAGAGAAAGTAAAGATAACCCCCCTTGAATTGAAGTTAGAACAGGAAAAAACAATAGAAATAGAGTTTAAAATCAAGAGGGGGTGAGAAATACACCAGAACTGTAAGTAAGCAAATTAACTCGGAGAGACAAGTTAGATTACTGCTGCTAGCACTAGCTACCACTGGATAAAGCTAACGACTGTAAGACACAGCTATATAAAAACAACGACAGTATGACACTGTGGAAAGTATCTTGGGCAGGGAGTATATGGCAGACTACGACAAACTTGCCAGGTTACATGAAGTACTTCTGCAAGAAATAAGAGGCTTTTGCCAGGAAAACAAGGAGCAGATGGAAGGCATCAGGGAGGAGTTTGCAAAGGTGAATGGCAGAATGGATGAAGCTGAAGGTAGAATAGAGAAAGCGGAGGAGAGGATGCAGTGACTGAACTTGTGAAGCTACACATTAAGTTGGAGGACAAGTTAACGGAGTTGGAGAATTGTTCTAGAAGAGGGAATATTAGGATTTATGGCATGCCAGAGTCAGCAGAACGAGACTCCCCATCAATGAGCGCTTTTGTGGAGACGCTGCTACGGGAAAGCTTGGAGATGGATGGGTCAGATATCTTCATTGAACATGCACATTGCTCACTGGGCTCTCCCCCGCCAAATGAGGCTCCTCCATGTTCAATAGTCGTTAAGTTTCTAAGTTATAAGACTAAAGAACGGATACTTCGTAAGGCCTGGTCAAGAAGAGGGTTCACCTGGAATGCCAAAAAAATAACATTGAATCGTGACTACCCTCCTCTCATTCTTAAGAAGCGGAAGGACTATGCAGACATGCGCAAAACTTTGAAAGAAAATCAGGTACAATTTCAGACCCTCTTCCCGGCCAGATTGAAAGTAAAATATACTGATGGAGCCAGAATATACAACACGGTGGAGGAAGCGACCGAAGATATGACTAGGAGAGGCTACATGGTGAAGATCATCAAACCGCCCGATACAATCGTTGAACAGAGCTGGCTTGGAATAGAGTGGCCAAAGGGTTCTGGAGGCAGCACAACCCAGGATCAGACCCTGGTTATAAAGAAAAATAAAGATCTTTCAGGAATGAGACAACGCCTGCAGGAAAATGAGGTTTTGTTTACATATTTTTTGAGATGGTGGCAAATGACCCCTCTGTTCTGTTTTTCTTTTTTCTTTATTTTACGTATTTCAAAAATAAATGAAAATACTCACAAAACTACAAATACTATACTGGTGTTGAAAAGAAATACTACATGGTTCTTTGGGATGCACTGCCCTACCGCGAGGCTACAGCCAATAAGGGCCCCCTTTTCTGGACAGATGAGGAAGCTGCCTTTAGAGGCGCAACAGGGTCGTCTTCACAGACCCCTACCTTGGAAGTTGACTTTTGTTGGACCCTCGTTCTTTTCACCACGTTGAC